TTTTTTTTTTAACCTATGTCTTAGAGTTAACTGATTGTAAAAGCTGATTTGTAAACCTTGCTTTTGCAGGTCATTTCGAATAGTCAACTATATTTTCCTTTTTAAGAATAGGCATGATAGATGAAAATCCACTTAACTTTCCTCCCTTACAAACTGCCTGTGAGAGATGCCAGCTAGAGTGAAAAAGGCGGCATTCCTTCCACTTTCTATTGGAAATGAGTCAGCTAAGATTACGTAGTTGAATAGGTTGTCAATTGGATAAAACATTCTAGAATATTCTTTCATCAGGTTGCTCAGAGCACTGAAGTGTCATCACCTTAGAATACTAGTGTCTGGGAAGCTCATGTCCCCTATAGGAATGTGAATGACTAACTCTTCCATTTGTGCAAATGGGTTCACTTGCATTGTTTTATATTTTACCTCACACAGTTCTATGAAGTCATTATCACTGTGCCCTACCCACAAATGAAGAAGCTAAGCTCTGGGGAAGTTAAATAACTTTCCCAAGGTTACTCAGCTGGTAGGGGGCATTTCCAGGATTTGAACCCAAGTTCAGAGAAAGAGGGGGCGGGGGTGTACACGAGAGCCAGAAAACTCCCGGGGGGGGTTGGCTACGCAGCCGTCCCTTCAGTGCCCTTCCCACACACAGGCAGTGATAATCACAGATCATTGCTACTTCAAATTATGACAGAACGAATTTTCCAGAATAGATGAGAGGAGTAAGGGAGGTGGGGAAGGCAGCGTGGTGGAATGGGGGGAGTAAGACTTGGCCAGGCCACGGGCGCCTGGGTGGCTCAGTTGGTTAAGCGACTGCCTTCGGCTCAGGTCATGATCCTGGAGTCCCGGGATCGAGTCCCACATCGGGCTCCCTGCTCAGCAGGGGGTCTGCTTCTCCCTCTGACCCTCCCCCCTCTCATGCTCTCTGTCTCTCATTCTCTCTCTCTCAAATAAATAAAATCTTTAAAAAAAAAAAAAAAAATTGGCCAGGCCACGTGTTTCAGCCACATCCTGGCTGTGAGGCTGTGAGCCCCAGCTGCTTCCTCTGCCTGTCTGGATTGGTGACCATCTATGTGCCAGCCTCTCTGGAGTACACGACTGCGGTAGACAGCAAGCCCAGGTCTTCCTGTATCCACCATGCTCTGTTTGTAACAACTCCCAGACTTTCATAGAAGTCCCAAAATTTTAGAATTGAATGGACCCCCCCCCCCACCACCGCCTTCATCTGGCCCAGCCTCCATCTACAGCAGAGTCCTCCCTCTTGTCCCTGCCAGGCCCCTCCAGCAGGGGGACTGGGCTCTCCTGGGAAATCCTAACTGGCAAGAACCCATCCTGCCTCCTGTGCCTTCTCACTGGTCTCAGCCCGCCCTGTGGGGTTCTGTAAAGGGTACGGGCTTCTTCTGCCACAGGGAGCCTCTCCCTGCTGGCCTGCCTGTGTCCCTGGGGGAGCGGGCTGCACTTGTTTGGACGTGTCTCTCTCTTCCCAGAGCATGCATCAGCAGCAGCAGCTCCAGCACCAGCAGTTCCAGAAGGAACTAGAGAAAATCCAGCTCCTACAACAGCAGCTGCCCTTCCATCCACCTGGAGACATGGCTCAAGATGCTGAGCTCTTGGACTCGTCCGGCCTGTACTCCGAGAGCTCGGGCACCAGCAGCCCCAGCACGTCACCCAGAGCCTCCAACCACTCGCTGCACTCCACTGGCTCAGCCTCCAAGGCTGGCACCAGCCCCTTCCTGGAGCAGGACGATGAGGGTAAAGCGAGTTGCTGTGTTCTCTCTCCTTTGAACACAACCTGAGAACCATAAAGTACCAAGTCCTCCTGGGGAGTCTGCGTGGGATTATGGAGTGCCGTTTCTAAGGGTTCACCGTGTTCTCACCTCATTCCCTGTCACTCTGGCGGCCGGGCTTCCACGCCATCCCAGGGCCTTTCGCCCTCAGGGGCCCTTTGGGGGACCACCTTGCCCTCCCTCCATCTTGCTCCATAAGGGCTGGCAGTTGCTGCTGGCCAGAGGGCCACTGGGTGTCTGGCTTGAGAGCGTTCCTGAGGCCAGCCAGGGGCCCTGTGTGACAGTGCCATTGTTGACCCCCATTCCTCTGGGGGGTTGGCTCAGACCGGCCGTCAGGGCAATATTCTGAGGGGATGGATGCTGAGCTCGTGCAAGAGACCTGAGCCCCAGTCTCAAGCTGGAGGCCGCTCCTGGCCTCATTTGCGCATCCACTGCTGCTCCCTGAAGGCTTCAGGCGCAAATCGTAGGTTCATCTGTGGCAAACCCCTGTCTCCTGACAGTAATGCGGAGGTAGGAATGGAGGGCGGGAGGCAGGGGAGGCCGTGGTCCTGGGCGTCAGGGAGGCGTGGACCCCGCCGGCTCTCGCCTACCGCAGGGCTGGGAACATACAGCCTGAGAGGTCCCGTCCCTGAATCTGAACTCAGGAAGCTCGCACCATTCCGGCCTCAAGGTGTTTTAGATTATGTTTGTTTAAAACCACTTCTTCCTGTTTTGTCCCAGATGAGGAAACCAGCATGGTGATAGTTGGGAAGATTTCATTCTGTCCCAAGGACGTGCTGGGTCACGGAGCTGAGGGCACGATTGTGTACCGGTGAGTGGCCCCGGGAGCTCTGTGACTTCACCGCCTGTCCCAGTACCTGTCAGCTTGTGGGTGGCAGGCCAGGCTCCAGGGGTGCAGCGGGGTCACAGCGGTGGCGTGGTGCCAAGACGCAGGAGTTCACCTCCGGGGAGGAAGCGACAGTTGGTCAGGGCTGTGAGGGTCACGAGGCGGCTGCTGGCTCACGGGACAAGGAGCACGGTGGGTCCGTGGGTCTCTCGTGTCCACAGCCTGTCTTGCCCCCCCAACCCAGCCCCTGATCCTTGTCCTCAGGGGCATGTTTGACAACCGCGATGTGGCCGTCAAGAGGATCCTCCCCGAGTGTTTCAGTTTTGCGGACCGCGAAGTTCAGCTGCTTCGAGAATCAGATGAGCACCCCAACGTGATCCGTTACTTCTGCACAGAGAGGGACCGGCAGTTCCAGTACATTGCCATTGAGCTGTGTGCAGCCACCCTGCAGGAGGTGGGGGCCCTGGGGCAGGCTTGCCGGGGCCGCTGCAGCCTTCCTCCTCCCAGCGGCGGTGGCTCGAGGGACTGCAATTTCTTTTTCTTTTATTTCTCTATATTTACTTTATTGAAGTTATAACACAGCCTACTCATTTCAGTGACCAGTTTGGTGCGTTTGACAGGGGCACACGCCCATTTAACCACAAACAATCCAAACGGAGAGCACCTCAGCTTCATTTGGGTGGGGCAGTCCTTGGGTGCAGTTGGTGTCTGTCTCCCTGTGCCTCCAGGAAACCCCGCAGTTGTTCTCACCACTGGTCAGGGCTGGTGTGGGCTTGGAGGATGCTGGTTGAGGAGTCAGGCCTTTGAGATCCTCCATCAATCTCCTTTTGCTCAGTCTCCAGGCTGACTGTGAACCTATCTTGGTATTAGCTGGCTGCACTTGCAGGTTTACCTATATGAGGCCATGAACTTGAGTTCCTTGCCCTCTTACCTTTATCACTGTACACTAGTCCGTCAGAACTTCTGGTTGTTTAAGTGAGCCTATGGCTTCAGGAGAAAGTCTGTTGGCAAATGTGGATTTGGGCAGAGAACGTTGTCAGTAAAACTTCCCATTTCTTTCTTAAAATAGGAGCAAAGAAAATGAGCTGACCTAATCCCAAATGTTAAAGCAAAAAGCTGCAGGCGGGACTTTTCTAAATAAAATTGAATCACTTGAAAGAAAGAAAGAGCGTGCTGTGCAGAGGTGCCCCTCTCTGCAGAGGGGCTTTGTGCATGACCTGGCCATGGTGTCTCTTACAGTACGTGGAGCAGAAGGACTTTGCCCACCTCGGCCTGGAGCCCATCACCTTGCTGCAGCAGACCACCTCGGGCCTGGCCCACCTGCACTCCCTCAACATTGGTGAGAAGCTTCCCTTTCCCAGGCCGCACCCCAGCTGAGGAGGGAGGTTGGGGAGGGTGGCCGACTGCTGGCGTGGTCCATCCCTCCGCTGAGAATCTGTGCTTCATCGCTGGCTTGCACGTGGGGTTTTTAGGTGGCCTTTTGACAATAAGAATTTGAGGAGGAACCTGTCATAGTCACAGACCAGAACCCGTAGAGGTGGCAGCAGGCCTGCTGGGAGTCAGAGAAAGTGCACTCCCTGACACTACTCATGGTAAATATGGGACTGATCTGGAGCGTTCTATTAGTTCACAGAGACCTGAAGCCCCACAACATTCTCCTCTCCATGCCCAACGCACATGGCAGGACCAAGGCCATGATCTCGGACTTCGGTCTCTGCAAGAAGCTGGCAGTGGGCCGGCACAGTTTCAGCCGCCGCTCAGGAGTGCCAGGCACAGAAGGCTGGATCGCTCCAGAGATGTTGAGCGAAGACTGCAAGGACAACCCGGTGAGCACTGGGCACAGCTCTCAGCCTCTTGCCTCTTCAGGAGTGACAGCCTCTGAATTCAAGACTTGGGGGCTGTGGCACATGAAGAATGACATTTCTTTGTCAAAGAGCTTCTGTGTGAACAGTATGCTGCTGGCACTTTCCATATGGTCTCCTGCTCAGACGAATGAAAGGGACATATGTGGGCAATTACTATCCGCACCCCCCCAACTTTTCCAGTCACTTCCAGCCCCAGCCCATCGGCTCTAGAGCCCACATTCCCCGCTGTGAACGCCAACACGCCCGCAGCCCTTGCAGGGGGCCGGCGCACCTCTGGGCACTGCCAACATGCTAGACGAGTCTCCCGGGACCCCTTCAAGGTGGGAGAAGCGGCAGCAACACTCCGGTCCTCACTGCTGCTGAGTCTGAGGATGAGAATTCTCCAGAAGGCCTCTCACACCCTGCCTCTCTTTTCAGACCTACACAGTGGACATCTTCTCTGCAGGCTGTGTCTTTTACTACGTGATCTCAGAGGGCAGCCACCCTTTTGGCAAGTCCCTGCAGCGGCAGGCCAACATCCTCCTGGGTGCCTACAGCCTCGACTGCTTGCACCCCGAGAAGCATGGTGAGCGGGCCACAGGGTGGGAGAGGTCGGGAGCCACCCTAGCTGCCCAGGTGGACCCTTGGCCTGGAAGGGTGCCAGCTCTGTGCCCCCAGAGGCCCTTCTTTCCAACTGCTTGCCCTGTGGGCCTCCGTGAATTGATGACTCATTCCGAAGCTGGTAGAAGGTTGGGTAGGTTGTCTTTGGAGCACCTCCCCCTAAAGCCAGGCAGCTCTGAGGTTCCTTCAGGTCACCCAGTGACCTCTGTGACCTGGGCAAGGCCCCCTTTGGGGACCTCTATTTTCCTGCTTGTGACTTGTGAGGGGTTAAGTAACCTGAGGTCCCTTCCTGCACCGACATTCAGGAAAACAGATAGTCCATGCTCTGTAAACTCTTGTGTGCAGGCCAGTGGTCAGTGGGTGTGGTCTGGGCTGGGAACAGACAGGCTGGGTCTTGCTCTCCGGGTGCAGCGGCAACAAGTCTTTCTTTCTGACTTCAAGGTTTCCTGTGTTATAATTGGCCCATGACACCCAGTGCCACCTTTTTAAAAAACTAAAACTGGGGCACCTGGGTGGTTCAGTCGGTTAACCGTCTGACTCTTGATTTCGGCTCAGGTCATGATCTCAGGATCGTGAGATCGAGCCCCACATCGGGCTCTGCACTCAGCACGGAGTCTGCTTGGGACTCTCTCCATCTCCCTCTGACCCTCCCCTGCTCGCATGTGTGTGCACTCTCTCAGTCAAAATCTTAAAAAAAAAAAAAATTAAAACTAACTTACTGTTTTGGTCATGGATTAATTTTCCTTATTCCCTGTAGAAACAATAGGTTAGCATAAAGACCCACAACGCCTTTACACCGTGATGAATTCCTGCTATTAATACCTTTGTGTATCTTATTCCAGTCTTCTAATTAGACAGGTGTGTGTCCTTTTGTAAAACATGGAGGGTAAATCGTACATGCCGTCGAATCCCTCTCCATGTTGACTGGTGCTCCACAGGGCATCATTTTAAGAGCACAGCCCAGGACCTGGAGGCAGCGTTACCGGAGCCTCCGCTAGTGGGTATCTCCAATTACTCCTTTTCCCAGACACCCCGCCCATCAGCTGACATTTGTGCATGTTCTTAATTCCATTACTGCAGTGAGCTCCTGTGGGTAGAATCTTGAATCAAAAGGCACGCGTGCTGTTAAGTTTCAGGTATTTCACGGTGACCGTGGGCCGGTGATAATGAGTTACTTGCTTGTTTTCCTCCTTTGTAGAAGATGTCATTGCCCGGGAATTAATAGAGAAGATGATTGCGATGGATCCTCAGAAACGCCCGTCCGCGAAGCACGTGCTGAAACATCCGTTCTTCTGGAGCCTGGAAAAGCAGCTCCAGTTCTTTCAGGTCGGTCTCTTGGGTTTTTGCGTTTGGGGTATTTTTTTTTTTTTTAAGATTTTATTTATTTATTTGACAGAGAGAGAAAGCACAAGTAGGCAGAGAGGCAGGGAGAGGGAGAAGCAGGCTCTCCACTGAGCAGGGAGCCCGATGTGGGGCTCAATCCCAGGACTCTGGGATCACGACCCGAGCCAAAGGCAGCCGCTTAACCGACTGAGCCACCCAGGCGCCCCGCGTTTGGGGTATTTTTTTAATCAAAAACCTTCATTTAACTTCTCCCAGATTTTAAAAAACAGAGCAAAAGACAATGAAACAAATGACTCCTAATCCCATAACCAAGAGATAACCATGGTTGACATTTTAACATATTTTCTTCATATAGCTAAAAGTGTGATTAGGGCCAAACTGTATATACAATTTTATATCCTTTTCTTTTCTCAGTACCTAATATTTTTATACAGTATTTCATTCAGTATTAATAATAGCATTAGTAGTATTTGCAGTAGTAAATGTAGTGTTTTAACATACTCTTTTTCCATGTTAAAGTTCTAAAATTTTAATGACTCTAGTACTCCATCCTACGGATGTGCCATAATTTAAAAACCTTATGTTACGGGAACTTTCAAATATACACAAAAGTAGAGGGAATACTAGCATGAACTCCCCTTTATCCATTCTCCAGCTCCAGCAATTAATAACTGAACCTCTACTCCCTCCTCGAATCTCCACCCCAGATTACTGTGAAGCAAATCTTAGGCATTATATAATTTCATTCGAGTCTCCTAAATCTAAACATTTACTTACATTGGATTCTTTCTATCCTCTTTTACCTAATCTTTGCCCAGATTTCTTTTCGCTTACGTTGGATTCTGAGACGTGAAATTAATAGGATCAGTAGAGATGAGCTCTGTCGGTGGTTTGGCTGTCTTTTTTTTTTTTAAGATTTTATTTATTTATTTGACAGAGAGAGACACAGCGAGAGAAGGAACACAAGCAGGGGGAGTGGGAGAGGGAGAAGCAGGATCCCCGCGGAGCGGGGAGCCCGATGTGGGGCTCAATCCCAGGACCCTGGGATCATGACCTGAGCCGAAGGCAGTCGCTTAACCGACTGAGCCACCCAGGCGCCCGGTGGTTTGGCTGTCTTAAGGCTTTGTGGTATTGCCCGCCCGGTGGCTTTTGTAGAAAGGGAACGTGTTTCTCAGAGTCTTCCCTGGTGTCAGTTCAGCACAGCTCGTCCAAACACATCGTACCCAGCACACCAGCTCTGGAAAGCAAGCACACGGGCTCAGTGCTTTTCCTCCTGGGGCTGGGTCAGAGTGAAGCTTGGGTTTAGGAGTGACCATTGCCCTGTCCTGGAATCTGACTAGAGCCTTAGCCCCCAATATTTAAGCTCCTTGAGGGCAGTGGTGGTTGACTTCTGGTTCGTCGCTGCCTGGCACGTGGCAGGTGCTTACTAAGTTTTTGGATGGATTGGGAAGGCGAGGGTTTCGTGCCACTTTCCACGGACAACATTAGGATTGTTCACTGTGTGCCACGGGTCATAACATTACAGTTCGGAGGTCAGGTATCCTCAAGGGACGTCTGGAAAGTCGCCAGGTTCCTTTGATGATGACAAGATGTAGAACAAGAATAAAGCTCACACAAAGGGACCTCTAGCCCACCGTGGGTTAGGATTTAAACTCTTCATTTTTCCAAGCCTTCTCTCATGTGAACACACCTGCCTCGCGTTGTATCAACTCGCCGCCCCGGCTCTGCGGCAGAAGTGTGTGTCTACAGGGCGTCCAGGGCTTTCCTCTAGCCACTGTAAGTCTGAGAGTCAGCCAGTCTGGCTTCATCTTCATCAAAGAAAGAAAAGCCTATGGCCAGTGAGTCTGTGTGGGGCTCCTCGCTCCGTTTCCTCAGCTGCTGGAGCTCGCGCTCGGCTCGGGCTGGAGCCCTCAGACACGGGGCAGGGCGTGAGGCTGGGGCAGGGCCTCCGGAGCCCACACGCTTGTCAGCAACTTTCTGCCTCTCAAAGAGCGCTTCATCCATCTTTTCTAACTGTTTGTATGGGGAGTGCTGACTGGCTGTGGATCTGAGCATGTCCTGTTTCCCTGCGTTGACAGAAAAGCCCAAGATGCAAATCAAAATTGAGCTTTTGTTGTTGTTGTTCATTGATGAACGATGATTGCACTACGGCTCCGTGTGAGATGCGGTGTGCGTGCGCAGGGGTGAGACGTGGGTGCGGCATTAGGGTTCGTGGAGAGGTGCGACACCTCCCCCTGTCACGGAGGTGGTCTGTGTGGGTCTCTCCCCAGTGAGCCACAGACGGGGCTGCTTGCAGGCGAGAGGGTGACGGATCGGGAGGGACCGAGGCACAACACTTCCTGTCAGTCCTGAGGCCCGAGGCTCATGTGGCAGCGACCAATCTGTGACTTGTGTGTGTGTCGCTCCTCCAGCTTCCGATTCTCCACACCCTGACCATCATCTGCTGCCCTTGTCACCCTCACAGGACGTGAGTGACCGAATAGAAAAGGAGTCCTTGGACGGCCCGATAGTGAAGCAGCTGGAGCGAGGCGGGAGAGCTGTGGTGAAGATGGACTGGAGGGAAAACATCACCGTCCCCCTGCAGACAGGTGACCACGCCGACGCCCCAGCCGTGCATGTTGGCGGAAACGTTTCAAGAGCAGTAGCCGTTTCTTTTTTTTTTT